TAAACTGCATTTTGTCTCCAGTAGTTAGCGTTACTCTGGAATTACTGCATCCTTTGTGCAGTTTGTTGAGGGGGTTAGCTTTGTAACAGCTTTTATTAAGGACTTGCTGAAAGAAAGTTACTTTTAAGTATTTGTACTCTGTGTGTACCAATGGTTCAGGTGGGCAGTGGGGGAGCAGCCAGGTGGTGGAAGGGGGAAGGAACTCAGTGATTTTTAAGATCCTTTCCCCCAGACCATTCCATGATCTCTAAAGTCACCTTCACTCCCAGACAGAGTTCTAATTCCGCGCCGTTCATTTTCCTCAAAGTGCTGTGACTCACCCTGGTCCCCAGGTGTGTTCCTCACAGATCTCCCATTATCAGCCTGGTTAGGAAAAGGTGCAGGAGAACAGGAGGTGGAGAACGGCAGGAACACAAGCCCTGAACCCTTTCCAAGGTGGGCAGAGCCCCGGTGTGCCTCAGCTGCAGCACACATGGCTCTGGGCTCCAGTTTGACCAGCAGCTCCTGGTGGTTTTGTCTCTGCACATGGCAAGAGCATGCTTCAATACTTTCCTTTCAGCGAGGAGTCAGATGTGCAGTGTAACTGGGGGATGATGGGCTTTGTGCTCCTCTCCATTTTTTATGTCACTTGGTAAGTGCTGATCTTGCATTAAGATGTCACTGTCAAAACCGGAGAGCGTTAGAGAAGAGAGGAGCTGCTGAATTTCCAGCAGGTCGAAGTGTTCTCGGATCCCTGGGCACTTTCAGTAAAAATCTGTTGGAATAAAGGATGGCTAAAAAATGTTTTTAATCTAGGCTTTTTAAAATTTCTCTTTTGAGAGTCACTGTAATAAATCGAAGTTATTGATTTAGCCCGTAGCAGTCCTAAGATTCACTCATTTAAGAGTGGAAACTGCTCCATTACTTGGAGCAATAACCCAGCACTGTGAAATCTCTCCTCAGAGACTGCTGGGCCACACCTGCACATGGGCATCCAGCGGAGATTTCTGTCTGCTCGTGGCCCTGGCAGCAGCTGAGCTCTCTGTGTGCTTTCCTCGGTGATCCTCTGCCTCCCCTCGCTGCCCTGGGAAACCTTTGCAGCCTGGTCAGCAACCCTGGCCTGGGTGGTCACTGTGCTGGCCTCAGTGGTCACTAACCCTGGCCTCAGTGGTCACTAACCCTGGCCTCAGTGGTCACTAACCCTGGCCTCAGTGGTCACTAACCCTGGCCTCAGTGGTCACTAACCCTGCTCTCAGTGGTCACTAGCCCTGCTCTCAGTGGTCACTGTGCTGCTCTCAGTGGTCTCCAACGCTGGCTCAGCTCAGCCCTGGCCAGCTTTCACACTGCTCTCCCTTTTCCAGACCCCTAAGGAAACAGGATCTGTTTTGTTTCAGTGGCTGTGGTATTAGCCCAGTGTGAGTCTGCCCCTGAGCCAGCTGGGCTGTGCACCCACAGCTCCAGGTTTTAAACCCTCTGCTTTGCATAGAGTCAGTCCTGCATGTGAATGGAACAAAAATCTTTTTCCAAGGGTAAATATTTCTCAGAGCACTGAAGGTTTGAGTGATCAATAAGTACTTGCAAAGGAATGCTTAACATCATACTCAGAAATCTTCTAAAACCAGAAGTGCTGGTGCAGTTGGCACTGGCTGGTGTCCCAGGGGTGTGTGCTGCCCACACAGCTGGCAGCAGCTGGTGAGTTTCATGGCATTTTCTCCCAGTGTCACTCCTGGTTTGCCTTTTGTGCATCTTTTATTATCCTTCCATTAACAGAACATTTCCATTCCACCTTCCTTTCCCAAAACTGCCCTGCTCAGAGGCATTCAGGGGCTCTGCTGCCCGTTCTCCTGGGGCAGCACTTTGCTGCCAGCCTCTGCCAGGAGTGAATTCCCCCCGTCCCTGCCCTGCTGAAACCATCAGCATCTCCTCATGCTGCCCACTGCTCCAGCAGGGAGGAGCTGTGCCTTCAGCTGCTGGCTGATGTCTCAGTGCCCACAGCCACCCTCCCAGGGGCTGCTCAGCACAGCCCTCAGCCCCCTGTGCTGGCCCCTGCTCCAGTCTGGCCCTGAATGATTAGCATTTTTATAAATTAAAATAAATCCGAGGAGCGAACCGGCCCAGGGGAACTCTCAATCCAATCAAATTAGACTCGTGTATCCACCCTGGAGCAATTCCTTGGAAGCTCTTCCTTGAGGAAGCTTCATTTGTAATCACTACGTGCTGTGTACTTTAGAAAAGTTTTATAATTACTTGCTGTTCCGGCTGCTGAGCTCTTCTAAATGTTGGATATTAAGGAACTGCTGTTTCAGTCAGTGAACAAGCTCTGAACATTAAATGTGCTTCACGAGAAGCGTTTTTTCCTCAGCCATTACACATCTCTGAAGGCATATTTTTTTTCAAGTGGATGCTTTCCCAGCTGTTGATCGTGCCTGTTTCTGCTGGGTGAAGAGAGGAGGAGGAACCTGGCCATGGTGTGACATTGCATCAGGGCTGCTGTGCTGTGCAGGGAGGTGGCTGCATCACTCACAGATGCAGGCCCTGGCATATTGATGCAGGTCAGCCTGCAAGGGCACCAAGAAAAGCTTTCTGTTGCACCATGCACGTTTTTTGGACATTTTTGTGTCTCGTATTTTACAGAAAAAAATACTTTAGCATTAATCAGAGAATTTTGGTACCATTTTTTATGCCCTTCACCACTAAAGCAGCCTGTGTTTGTCGTGGGTCAGGGACACCTGGCCAGGAGAGCTCAGGGGGTGATACCCAGTGCTGGGGAGAGCTGGAAATGCCAGCTTGGCAGGTGTTGTAGAAGGTGATAACCATGATTCCTGTCCCAGAATAGCTCACCACAGCACACCTCAGGCACAGGATGGTGTTAGATGCTGAAGGCCATTCTGGAACCAAGGGCTGTGCCTCCAGTGAAACCAGGACTCTGGGCAGTGGTTGGGAAAGATTTGGCAAAACCAGATCTGGTCCTTGCCTGTGGCAGCCTTCCCCGTGGCCCTGAGTGTGTCACCAGCCCCTCCTGATCCTGGGAGCAGGGCTGGGACACTCAGGGAAGGGGAGAAGAGGTTTGGGAGTAGGGACTGGCTGGAAATGAGCTCCTCCCCACCTGCAGGTGCCACCTCCAGCTCTCTGGAGCTGCCTGCAGAGTTGTGGGGCTTCTCTTGGAAAGGTGCACATTTCCAGAGGATCTTTGGAGAAATGCATGCAAACTTCTTGGTCTGGAGACCTTTCCTGGAGTTCATTGACTCTTGGGGCAGCTTTGATGTGTGCAAAGATTTGTTCTCCATTTGGTGGAAGTGAAGGCACTGGGATAGTCAATCACATGGAAAAACGTTTTCTCTGCCAGTTACTAAGAATCAGAAGTAGAAATGGTGCAAATAATGTCATTTCAGGTGTCATTAATCGAGGGCATAATGGTGCCCTCAGCAGCCAAATGCAGGCTGCAGCTCAGGTGATTCTGGGGTCTCTGCACAGGCTCAGGTTTGCAAATACCTGACCAGGTTCCAGGCAGTGTGTGCTCCCCTGGAGGTGTCCCAGGAGTGTGTAAACCCCAGATACTGCAGCTGCCTCCTGTTTACAGGCTGCAAGATTTATTTAGTAGGAGCTCTTCAAATGGCAATAGGCTGGGCTTGAGTTATGAATTGCTAAACCCATCCATCCATCCATCCATCACATTCCTGGCCAGAATCACTCCCTAAATGCAGGCAGGGAATGTGCCACTGTCACAAAAGTGCTCCAGTGTCTCTCTTTTGACGCAGCAAGAAAACAAATTTCAAGCATTAGGTAGTATTAAGACTTTTCAGAGGGAGCCATCCAAATGAAAACCCATAATCAAAATAATAATTATCAGGGGAACCATTTGCTTTCAAAGTAATCATGCAAAGTAAAGCACAGAATATGTCTTAAGTAGCAAAAAAAGGGTGATTTCTGTTCAGAGAGAGAAAGAAAGTCTGGCACTTGAGAATGTAAGTGCTTTGTACATGATCACTTCTTGATGGATTTTCTCAGAAATGGGCCTTCATGTATTGTATGTAGAAAAGAGAGGAAAAATTGAAGCTGTAACGTGATGAATGCAGGCAAAGGTGTGATGAGGCTGGGATTGGGTTACTGAGCTAGGAAGTTACCTGTCATTCCCTTCATTTTCAAATCATTTCAGCATAGGGTTGGATTGCAGGAATATTCAGTGGAATATTAACACTGTGGGAAGGCATTTGGAAAGTTCCAGGAAAGCTAGTGGATATTTTCTAATGAAGGGGATTTAAACTTTTTTTTTTTTTTAAATTAAGCCAGAAGCTAGTCTAGCAAATTTCCTTAATATATTCTTATTATTTCTGGTGTAGTTAAAGAAATTTAATGTGAGGAAACATTTCCAGCATGTCTTTTCTTACTTGTTTTTCAAATTTTCTTACTGAGTTTGTGGTATATTTTACCTGCCACAGATTTTTTCTTTGCTTGGTCTCAGCTGCCTGAGATTTTAATTTCCAGAGAGCACCTCTAAGATTAGACTAAAATTGTCATTTTTTTCATTTAATCCTGTTAATTGTTTTAATGGCTTCCCCACACTGAGCTTCATTGCTGAGGATTTCTGTGATTTTGGTGGTGGACATCTTCAAGAAACCTTGGTTTTCTTTTTGGCTGCAGTGATTCTGGGCTCCTCAGCCTTCATGAGCTGCACTGGCCTTAACTTTGGCTGATCAGAGTTCAGATCAGAAACATCTTTGAAAAATCAAACAGAACTTGGAATGGAGTAAGTGTGTTAAAATAACCTGGACTCCATCCCTGTGCAGTGCCCACAGGAGAAGCTTTGATAATTTTGAATAACTCCAGTTTGTGTGCTCTGAGGCAGTTGTAGATTGGTAAAAATCTTCTAGCAGTGTGATATCCACAGGTAAACAGCTGAACTTGCAGAGGTTAACCTGGCTCACTCCAGCAGCCCCCTTCAGCCCCAGTAATGGCTCTCCCTTTGCCTGTCTGCTGTCCCCAGGAGCACCAGCCTGTTCCACGAGGTCGTGCAGCTGGAGTTTGAGATCGCCAGCTTCAGCAGCCTGTCGGGCACGCAGCCCATCAGCTGGCAGGTGGAGTACCCCCACCGTGGCACCTCCGAGCCCGCCCTGGCCGAGATCTTCATCTGCCAGAAGGACCTGGTGGGAATCGTGCCCCTGGCCATGGTAAGAGCCCCTCCCTCCCTCCTTGTGCCCACCCTGTGCCCACCCTATGCGGGCTGAGCCAAGCAGGGCCAGCCTCAGCAGGGAGTGCTCCCTGCCCTGGCACTGCTTCTGGAACCATCCCTGAATCCTGGCACTGCCTGTGGAGCCATCCCTGAATCCTGGCACTGCCCCTGGAACCATCCTCACTGTGCACAGTACCCAGCTGCAGCTCCTACACTGTCCCCAAGGAGAGGAACCATCCTCACTCTGTGCATTGACCCCACAGGAGAGGGATGCTGGGAGAGAAAGGATGCTGAGAGGGAAGGGATGCTCGGAGGGAAGGGATGCTTACAGGGAAGGGATGCTCAGAGGAAGGGATGCTCACAGGAAAGGGATGCTCAGAGGAAGGGATGCTCAGAGGAAGTGATGCTCAGAGGAAGGGATGCTCACAGGGAAGGGATGCTCAGAGGAAGGGATGCTCACAGGGAAGGGATGCTCAGGAGGAAGGGATGCTCAGAGGAAGGGATGCTCAGAGGAAGGGATGCTCAGAGGAAGGGATGCTCAGAAGGAAGGGATGCTCAGAAGGAAGGGATGCTCAGAAGGAAGGGATGCTCAGAGGAAGGGATGCTCAGAAGGAAGGATTGCTCAGAAGGAAGGGATGCTCAGAGGAAGGGATGCTCAGAGGAAGGGATGCTCAGAGGAAGGGATGCTCAGAGGAAGGGATGCTCAGAGGAAGGGATGCTCAGAGGAAGGGATGCTCAGAGGAAGGGATGCTCAGAGGAAGGGATGCTCAGAGGAAGGGATGCTCAGAGGAAGGGATGCTCAGAGGAAGGGATGCTCAGAGGAAGGGATGCTCAGAGGAAGGGATGCTCAGAGGAAGGGATGCTCAGAGGAAGGGATGCTCAGAGGAAGGGATGCTCAGAGGAAGGGATGCTCAGAGGAAGGGATGCTCAGAGGAAGGGATGCTCAGAGGAAGGGATGCTCAGAGGAAGGGATGCTCAGAGGAAGGGATGCTCAGAGGAAGGGATGCTCAGAGGAAGGGATGCTCAGAGGAAGGGATGCTCAGAGGAAGGGATGCTCAGAGGAAGGGATGCTCAGAGGAAGGGATGCTCAGAGGAAGGGATGCTCAGAGGAAGGGATGCTCAGAGGAAGGGATGCTCAGAGGAAGGGATGCTCAGAGGAAGGGATGCTCAGAGGAAGGGATGCTCAGAAGGAAGGGATGCTCAGAGGAAGGGATGCTCAGAGGAAGGGATGCTCAGAGGAGGGGATGCTCAGAGGAAGGGATGCTCAGAGGAAGGGATGCTCAGAGGAAGGGATGCTCAGAAGGAAGGGATGCTCAGAGGAAGGGATGCTCAGAGGAAGGGATGCTCAGAGGAAGGGATGCTCAGAAGGAAGGGATGCTCAGAAGGAAGGGATGCTCAGAAGGAAGGGATGCTCAGAAGGAAGGGATGCTCAGAAGGAAGGGATATGCTCAGAGGAAGGGATGCTCAGAGGAAGGGATGCTCAGAAGGAAGGGATGCTCAGAAGGAAGGGATGCTCAGAAGGAAAGGATGCTCAGAGGAAGGGATGCTCAGAAGGAAGGATTGCTCAGAAGGAAGGGATGCTCAGAGGAAGGGATGCTCAGAAGGAAGGGATGCTCAGAAGGAAGGGATGCTGAGAGGGAAGGGAAGCTCAGAGGGAAGGGATGCTCAGAGGAAGGGATGCTGAGAAGGAAAGGATGCTCAGAGGGAGGGATGCTGGGAGGGAAGGAATGCTGCCTCTTCAACTCCCTCAGGTTTAAACCCTGAATTTCTTGCCTTTTCCCACAAAGCCCAGTAGATTTTCCTTCCTGCTTCTGTTTGCCTTGAACTTGCTGCTCCAGAGGGCCTCAAGGACCTTCTGCTGAAGGCCAGGTTTCTTGGTCTTGGTAGGCTGAGGCTGATACTGATTCTCCTGCTTGATGACCTAACAGTGTGAGAACTTTTGGGTTGAAGTCAAAAATAGAAAACAATAATAGCCTCAGTAATATATTTAAGGATCATGAAGTGCAGACTTTCCTGTGGGTAAATGGTTTGGGTTAAAAATCTGCTCTCTCTGCTCAGGGTTTTTGGAAAACAAGGAATTTCATGGATTCTCCAGCATTTCAGCTGTGCTGTTGTTAGGCAGGCATTTTATTTTCTGTTGATCAGGATTTGGAGGAAGAGTTAGACATAGCTCTTTGGTTCTTGTGAATTTTGACCCTCCAGTGCATCATCTTGGTGGCAGAATTCTGGCAGTCTTTTCTTTGAACAATGTTCAGCAGATAATTAGATGAGTATTATTTCCTGGAAGTCCCAGTCTTCAATATATTCTTCCCCTTTGAAGAGTGAAACTGCTGCTCATATCAAATGAGGTCATGGCCAGCAATTTCCTGATCCACAGTCTGTTAAGTCAGCAGAAAGCCTGCACTGCATTCCAGATCTGAGGGGGAAATAATTGTCCTCATTACCTGTCAGCTTGAACAGAGAATATTTATTGGAGCATCTGTCCTCTGAGGACTGGAGAACGTGCATGAAGAGGAATTTTTGTGGTCAGATTTCATTTTGAGATAGATGCCTTCCACTGCCAAACAACAGACACGTGTCTGCTGGCAGACTTTGTGTCTTCTTGCTCTTTTCATGAAAGAATTCATCAGCTTCTTCTCTGTATTCCATGTCTAAGGGAATGGAGATTCTAATATCTCCTGCCAGGGTGTGATGCCTTTGCACTTGCATACAGGGTTCTTGCAGACTTGTGTCTATCCTGCATTAAAATTCATCTGCCTGCGAGGGTTCCTGTAAGAACTGGAGGTCTAAAAGGATGAGTTTAGTGTTGTATAAATCATGTAAGGCGAGATCCTTTATTCCCAGCAGGTTGCCAGTAGGCACTGTGGGTTCAAACAGAGGGTTCAAACAATGAAATCATTAAACCTTTCTCTTCACAAAGCTTTCTTGTGTTTATCTCATTGCTGTAGCTTGTGATAACACTTAGCCAGAGCCAAAATACACTGTGTTAGCAGAATGCAGCTGGGTGGAACAGCAGAGCACGACTGGCTTTACTAGCAGGATGTTGGTAGATAAAGGGAATTTTCCCTTCTCTGTTGGCTAACGCTGCACATCCAGCCAGGGAGCTTCCTTCATGCAGGCATTAATCTCCAGCTGAGCTGATGACCTGGCAGTTCTGCTCAGGAACAGGAGTCCCCTGGAAGCAGAGAGGGTGACCTGGCAGTGCTGGGAGGCCAGACCAGAGTCTTTATGTGCACTGCCCACGGAGCAGCAGCACGTGGCTGTGGCCAGAAATGAGATCTCAGTGCTGAGCAGCAAGTGGGGCTTGTAATCCTCTGGAGGAGAGGAGATGTTGTTGATTTTGCTGTTGATTCGAGCGTGGAGCGTTCCAGGGTAGGGCTGCTGACATGCAAAGTCAAAGCTGTGACTGCACATTTGCAAAGTGACCAGGAAAAGGAGCTGCCCAAAGACCCTGCAGTGTCCCAGGCTGTGGGGGCTGCTCTGAGGGACACCCTGAAAGTCTTTCAGCAAACTTTTCCCTGGTTTGGGTGGAACATAAAGATAAAGGCTGCTCTGACCCACGGAGTAAAGCTCATCTCATGTGAGCCATTCCAAACTTATGAAGCAAGAAAGATCATGTATCTTTTATTGCCCTGTGCCTGGTTACATTACAGAAAGAGTAGTAAGATGAAAACCAAGTGGTCTTCAAAAGATTAGTGCAACTGTTGCTGTGGTGTTCTGAAAGAGATTAGAGAATTGACATTGTCAGCAAGAACTGAACCTGAAATGTTAAAATAGCCTTGTAGGGCTTGGCTCAGTGGAGCAGGTGGTCGGGTAAAGCTGCTGCAAAATCCATGGCCACTCCTCAGGTAGTGAGAAGAGAGGGTTTTAGCAGAATCCATATTCCATGTGCCTAAACAGTGTGCACAGGCAAGGAGCAGCAACACAGGGATGTGCTGCAGGAAATAATAGGGGCAAGAGACATCAAAACAGCCGGACTGACAGTAACTGGAATCATTTTTTGCCAGAAAAAAAATGACACGTAAATTTGAGGGAAGTCTATTTTTTCCCCCAAGCTCAGAAGTTAATCAATCTGAGTAATTTTGGAGGATGTGTCACCCTTCAAGGTAGCTGGAGAGGAAAAATGAGACAGAAAAGCTAGAACAATGTAGTTTTAACTGGTTTGTTGCTTTCTAACTCTCCCATAACAGAATGTTAGCTAAGTACTGTGCACCAGACTAGGTTCTAGTCAGACACATCCTCTGCTTTCCAAATTCCTGAGTATGGCCCTTGCTGAGACCATCCACCCAGGGTACCCTGCATGCAGGCTGTGTGGGGGTCTGTGTGTCTCACTCGAAGTGTGACATTAAATTCACATTGTTGTATTTCCATCACTGAACAGCAATAATTACTGAGGCAAGATTTGTAAAGAGGTAATGTCATTTATTAGGCTTTTGGATAGAGATGAGAAAAAATGAAAAAATGCTGTTTCAGGCACACGCTCCCCCCTTCAGACCTTTGGACTCCCTTGAAACACAGCTACAGAAAGTGGGGCTTGTGAAATTCATCAAGTAGCAGAGTTAAATAAGAAAACAAAATAATTTCTTATGGCACAGAAAATGTATCCCATTGTCTGTGGACAGGAAGAACCTGCTGGCTGGACTGTGCCCTGTTCTGGCTGGTTTTAATTCCATGTTACTTGTTGCAGGATCAATTAGGAAAGTGCTTTTGTAGGACCTTAAATAATGATCTGCTAAGCTGCCTTTGAGCACCTCCTCAATTAATCACAGGTAGCCTCAGAACTAGCCACTTAAGGTGCACAGGCTTTCCTCCTTCCTTTCCACAAATTTTTCTGAGATTTGCATCCTGTCGTGAGCAAATGTAGGATTCTGCCTCTTGACCCTGTGAACACACCCCAGATTTCCCTCTGTGGTGTGTGCACACAGGAATCCCCCAGGAGAGCTCTGTGTGGTTGTGTTCTACACAAGCCACCTTCTGGGAAGCTCAGCCAGAGATCTC